TCCAGACAAAGATCCTCTTGCTTGTCGAGCCGCGAGAACCCTTGGATGCGGGCGACCTCGAGTCTGGGCTGTCGTAACATCGCCGCTCTGAGCGTCGCGCTCTCCTTCGCCGCCCGATCCCAGCACTGCGCCCCCTCCTCCGCCCGCTTCGCAACCTGCCCACTTGCCAACGCAGACCAGATCCTGCGCGGACTCTGGGGCGGTTCGCTTAGGACGACTTATGATTAAACTTGACAAGGTTACCTTCGACCTGCATGGGCCATTCCAAGTTGTCTCGACCTTTTACGACACTGTTAGCAAACTGGCAAGTCCCTCATCTGGCAATGGCGCCCACCGCCGTGGGTTCTGGCAATCTAGGCCCGATGCGTACAGCGTGCCTGGAACCCTTCAGTGCCGCACGCGGGTGTTCAACGGTGAGAAGCTCTATCTCAGCAAAGCTGGCTACGGCGCAGGCTCTGAAGTCGCTTCGCCAGGGCGCCTGCTGGGACTTGCCTCCGGGGTTCCCGTCGAGGTCCTTGGGGCACCGAAGCTACGACCAAAAACAAGCCTTACTGGCAGCGATCTCCAGGGGTTCTCGGATGGTCCTGCCTGCGTAGTCTTCTTCTGTCACGTGGAACGGGCCAGCTTTATCCCGCGTCTTTGTCCAGCGATGCAGGGCGCCAGCCCCGGCGCGCGGGCTGTCAACTGCCCGAGCTTAAAAACCCTGGGTGTGGCTTCTCGAGATCCCCCTCTCTCCGCGCCCTGCACTAACCTCCCGAGCCCCACCCCCGGCGCTTCCCAGATGGTTGCCCCTGCGAGCGGCGGCTCGGGCAAAGCCGCAAGCTTGGCAAGCGCGGCCTGGTGGCAGGCGCGTTGCTCAGCGGCCTTCAGCCCCTGGCGTGCGCCCACCTGCTTCTGCATGCTACCCAAGCCCTGGCGGTGAGGTGAGGGGCTCTGCCCCTGGCGACAGTGGCTCGCAATTCCTTGAAGCAAGCCTCTAGCGCTATCCACCTCGCCAACCCTGGCGCGCCTTTCATCCTGCCTGGGGGGCGCGGCTCGACCGCTCGAGCGATCCTGGTCCTTGTCGGTAGCCCTCGCCCGATGGGGGCTCTGCCGACGTCTACGCTGACATCGCGCTGGCAAAGCCAATTCTCAGCGGCCATGGCGAACTGTATGTGCGCTCGTGAGACCTGCCTCTTCTGCTGGCTGAGGCTCCGCATGTGCTCCGTGGCCATGCAGGATTCTACTGTGCACTGCGCCGCATCAGCGTAGATGGGCCCATTCCCTGTCTGTGCCAGTCATCCCGGCAGTGATCTGAACCGGCGCCAGCAGTATCCCGTGCTCGTAGCGGAACACCTCAAGGTCGAGCTTTGCCTTGATACCAGAATGTGGCATGGCCCAAGCCCTGCCGTGTCCCACTCCAACTTGAGCGCCGTGCGTAGGTCTTCGGAGGTCATCATGTAGTCAGTGGCGCGTCCCGTATGGGGGTGATCTCCAGGCGTGGCCCAGCAGCCCCTAAGGTAGTCCCAGCCTGCAGGCCCTATCTCCTCTAGCGTCATGTTCCAGCGACCCATGTGCAGGAAGGGCCTGTCCTTCGCGGTGACCAGGCTGGCGATCTCATCCGCCGTGACTTAATTGCAGTCGGCGAGGCCCGTGCCCACGACGAAGTATGGTGCAATGAACAGGACCTCTATCCCGCCCTCGAACCTGACGATCTGGCCCGTCCACTGTGTTGACTCCAGCGTGCTCGGGGTGCTGGTGCGTCTTGTGCTCCAGCGTGATATGGGTCAGCTCGTGAGCCTTGATCTGGCCTGCAGGGCCGCCCCTCCATGTCCCTGGCGGCCTCCGTTGATGGTGGCCGTGAATGGGATCTAGGCTCCCTTCCAACCGAACTTCTTCGACTTCTTGACCGTCTGGGTGAGCTTGGGGCCTGCCAAATGGTGCTCCACGAGACCGTGCGTGTGCAGGCAGTCACCTTCTTCCTCGCGTCGTGCCTCGTCCTCCATTAGGAAGTCCCCGCGCTTCTTGCCGAAACTCGTGACGTTCGCGAGATACAGCTTGAAAACATTCATCTTGCCATTGCCCGGCCGATTCGATCTGCCGCCCTTTTCGGCGCCTCCCGTCTGCTCGGGGCGGGGGCTGGGTGGGGCCAGCCAGGGGTTGGCAGGGGGGTTGTCGCGCCAGTCGTCGACGTCGGCGTCGCCGCTGTCCTTGCACCGCCGATGCGACCTGCCACCCGTTTCGGCGCCCCCCGTCGGCCAGGGCTCCCGTCCGCGCTGGATAGGGGCTGGGTGGGGCCGGGCAGGGATCGGCAAGGAAACGGCCGCCTCCGTCGTCGACGTCGCGCTCGACCGTGTCCAGCCTCTCGGATCCGCAAAACTGCGCCGCCAGGGCACACCAACCCTCCTCGCCGAAACTGCGACGTATGAGCGAGGAAGATTTGCGCTCTAACGCCGCTGTCTCTACTCCATCGTGATGCAACGACCCCTGGGATAAGTTTGCATACCACTTCCGACAGGTAGGTGATCGCCTCCAGGCTGACGCTAAGATCCTCGCACAGGCTAAACTTGCTGCTCGCGCTTCTGGCGCTTGAAGCCCATGCCTTTGAATGTTTCGAGAAGAGCACGTTTCTCTCCTTTGTGCTGATCCCAGTGCTTGTCAACTTCGTCCTCGTCCATGTCCTCGCCCAAATTTGGCGTGTCCCGTTGGCCATTGTCGGAATCATCAGCAGTAGCAGCAGCAACAGGGCGTGGCTCCACCTCGAGCATGGCCATGGCCAGGAACTCCACGACGTCGGGTGCCTCCTCGATCTTGGCTTTGTCGATGGCACCCATGTCCCATGGCGTAGTAGATTTGACTGGCATCGTGCCAACCAGCATTTGCTTGGCCTTCTCGACTTCCTTCTCCAACTTGTCCCGCTGCCCCGCGAGCTTGACTTCCTGCGTGCGGGCCTTCTCGATGATCCGCTTTTGCTTCTCAAGATCCTTCCCCAGCGCGATCCTCTTGGCCTCCAGCTCCGCGAGCTTGTGGCCAGCGATCGTCTGCTGCGTGAGTTTGGGCATGGTGCTCTGGAGCTCTCGCTGCGCCTCGGCCTGCTTGGCCCGCAGGCGCTCGATCTCGTCCTTGTCCGCGTCGGTATCGAGCTCCTTGGCAATCCTGCCGAACATGTTGATCCTCTCGCGGAGCTTGTCAGCCCTGGACAGAGCCTCAAACCCAGCGTTGGCCGAATCTCCTCCATCCTGCCCAGCCATGGCTTGCCCCCCCCTGCCCTCGTAGGTTGCGCCATGAGCTGCCCTTGGACGACGGATGAGAGCTGGGCGATGGATTTATTGGTATCTTGGAGCTGCTTAGCCCACGGCTCTCAGGTTGGGGGTATGGCTGAAGCTTCGGCCCCTTGGCACCCTGATGTTCCTTGGCGTTCTGGCGAGCCCGATCGATGATGCTCCTGGGGGCGCCGGCCCCATACGCACACTTGACCCTGCGCGCCCAGTTCGAGCTCCTTCCGCACGAAAATCCCCAGACGGGTTCCTTTGGCCCGGGTTGGTCCGTCGGCTCCCCTCCGACATTGCTTTTGCCCACCTGTTGTAGGCCAGACTGGGCGTTCGCTGACGACCTATTTGTTCCCCCAAAAGCTCACCGAGAAGCACCGTGGTCGAGGCCGTTGCGCCTGCGTACCCACCGTGCAGAAGCTGTCCAGACCAGGTGCCTCGACAAAATGGCAACTAGAGCCAAAATTGCTTAAGCCAAAATGGTTGCGGCCTCGTTCTCCTCCTCCTCCTCCTCCTTCTCCTCCCCTTCCTCCTCCTCCTCCTCCTCCCCATCATTTTTCCCCTTCTTCTCCTCCTCCTTCTTCTTCTCCGAAGCAATCGATCCCTACCAACTTCGGGGTCTGCGGCGGGGAGAGGGTGGGCGGTGTCCTTCAGCCATCGTTTCGAGCGAAGCGAGGGCACGTGGATGTGCAGCGAGTGCAATGTTGTGGTGCCCGCGTCTCGCCTCATCGACGCCGCCAAGACCCAGTGCCGTGGTCTCCCTGTCTGTGTGGTGGGGGCGGGTGGCGGTGGGTTGGCGGCGGGGCGGGAAATGCATCCGTCCCACACCGTCCAGCGATGGGAGCGGTTCCTCATGAAATTCTGCACCACCTGTGGCAAGTATGCCACGGTGGATGGGCGCCACCTTGCGGCGAAATGCGCGGGCATCTCCCGCACGGGCCGCGAGAATTTAAATCGCATCGAGGAGGGCAAGTACCCCCGCAGAGATGGGGTGCCAAAGGCCCTGCAGGTTGGTCTCGATGCGCGAGATCTCGGCGGCCAGAAGGTACGCGAGTGCTGCTGTGCCCGAGGGAGGGGACGGCGGACCGTCCGCCGCTGCTGGGTCGTTGGCCCTCCTGTGGAGGGCTAACTGGCCAGTAGGGGTTGCGGTGGTGTGGCGGTGAGGCGGGGTTCCGCCTGCACCGAAGCACCCCCGTTCGGGATTCTGCTTTCCCCTTCCTTTCCCTCCCCCCCCTTCTCCGCACGACCCTGTGCTTGGTCAAAAAGTCCAAATGGTCCTCCTCCTCCTTCTCTTCCTCCATCCTCCATCCTCATTCCTTTTCCCTCCTCTCCAGGGCTTACTCACATATCAAGCTCGATTCGTGACTGCTGCCATCTCATCTCCTCTTACAGGTCCTCCGTCTTCACTCCTCCCCCCTCCTGCCCCTCATTCCTCCTCCATGTTCCGCCTCCGCCCCCTCCGCCCCCTCCGTGTTGCTGCCCAGAGTAGTTCAAACGTGCTGCCCAAATCAGGTGGGAGACACAAGTACCGATAACGCTACTTCCGGGACCTCTCCCGGTGTGCGGTCTGGCTAGACTTTCGAAGATCATCCAGCCATGGTGACGGAGAGTTCTCCAGGACGAGAAGCGGGTTGTGTATACCGTTTTTTCTTCTGATACATCTGGAAGAACAAACAACGATGGTCCGCGCGGACCGTTAACAATTCATGCTTATTTCTTGTTATTCAAAAATCAAATGCCGGGCGGGGCGACTCTATCCACGAGACGATGCTGGCGAACACGACCGAGCAGAAGAATACGGTCAGAGCGCCGGAGCAGAAGCGGGCATACGCGTCCCGTTTCTGGTCGGACTGTTTCTCCTCGGCGGGGGCGGGCCACCCGAGGAGGCGCGAGGACGTCTCCTCCTCCTCCTCCTCCTCCTCGTCCTCCTCCTCGTCCTCCTCCTCCTCCTGCTCCTCCTCCTCCAATTTCGTCACTCTATCTTCTCTCTCCTCCTCCCTAAGTCTCCCCCCTGCTATCTCCTCCTCCTCCTCCTCCTCGTTGTCTTCTCTCCTCTTCGACCCTCCCTCCCTTCTTTCCGCCTTTTTTTACGTTAGACTAACGTGAGGACCTACCCCGTCGCGCTCTTGCAAGTGCGACAAGAGCAGAACCGACTCGGGTCATTGTACATGGCGGGCGCCGCGGGACATGCAAGAAAAACAACCAGGAAGAGGATAACAAAGAGAGTAGTGGCCATTCAGGGAGAGGTTCTCCTCCCATGAATCAATATAGTACCACATCGTCAATGGTAAGTGCCGCCTCGGTAAGGTACAGAGAAGAAAAAAGGCCATGCAGGTGGATAGGTGCGAAAGTGGTAGGACAAAAACATTTCGAGGGTTGCTGCCCAGGATTTCTTCAGGTATACCCAAACCGCAAGTACGTCCTCCCAAGCACAAGTCCCCACCTCCTTCCCCCCCCTTTGCAAAAGATCAAAGTAAGGTTGTCTTTGCTGCGTATTTGTTAAGCGAACGATCAGAGGGAGGCTGGCTGTTCTGCGTGTTTGCCAAGCAAAACAATGTGAGGTATAGGTTGGCCCATGGGGCTGGCCTGCCATGGCCTGTGGATTACAGGCTTGCAAAGTGACATAATTTGACGTGATGAAAAGCCTGCAGCAATAATGATACAGGTGGCCGTGCAGTGTAGCAGTCCGTGGGTTGCTGCCCAGGGTATTTGGTTAACCCCAAACAATGCAGGTACTTCATCTCCCGACCCAATCAGGCCCACGCCCCCCATCAACAATATCAATATGAGGCTGTCTGCGCTGCGTTAGTCGAACAAACAAGCAATGCGAGGTATAGTCTGGCCCAAGTGGGCTGGCCTGTCAGAGCCTGTGGAGACGCAGGCTTGCAAAGCACAACTTGTAGGGAGAAAAAGCGTGCAGCAAGAACAATACGGGTGGCCGTGCAGTGTAGCCCTTCTTATGTTGCTGCCCAAAGTTTTTTGGTCAACCCCAAACCCTGCAGCTATTTTCCGCCCCCACCACCACCGCTACACAAGTTCCCAACTCCAGCCCGCACTCCCCGTCCAAAAGAACAGAGTGAAGCTGGCTGTGCTGCGTGTTTGTCAGGCCAAACCATGTGGGGTATAGGCTGGTCCTGTGGGCTGGCCTGTCATAGCCTGTGGAGATACAGACTTGCAAGGTGGCACAGCTTGTGGAATAGGAGAGGCCTGCGCAAGACGAGGTTGACCGTACTGTGTAGCAATTCTTGGGTTTCTGCCAAAGTTATTTGTTGTCTTCAACCGGTGCAAGTACTTCATTTCCCGACCCACATCTCCCGTCACTCAAGAACCACCTCCGCCCATCCCCAAGGTCAGAGTGAAGCTGGCGGTGATGCATGTTTGCCGACTAGTACAAGCCTGTCGCAGCAAATGGGGTCGCGCCTGTAAGCCAGGGGATCCCAACGTAAAACGCCTTCGGTGCAAAAGGAAAGTAGAGCGACAGTAGGCTTTGGCAGTTCTTGGGCTGATACCCAAGGCTTTTTGGGCATACCCCGCACCACCTGGACCTGGGGCCTCGTGTTTTTTTTGTAATGTCTTTTCCGCCTTAGCACGAACCCATAGTGACGTCAGGCCATAGACTGGCGAAGTGCTGGCTGGCCTGGTAGACAGCAGTGTCGTCCAAGTGCAAAGGTTGTCCGCAAGAGGGGATGGTACCACGACGGCTGCTGACTGTATGCTTCGCGCGAAGAGTCAAGATGAAATCCTCCTCCGTCACCGCTGGGAATCCACCTGATGCCCCCCCCCCGGCCCACCCCAAGTACAAGACTGGCAGTGCAGTGTTACTCGGATTAAGAAAAAAGAAAGTGATGCAGCTCGGGCTGCTACCCTGTGAGCAGTGAAAGGAAGGCTGCTGTAAGAAAGGGAAAGAGAACAGAGCGTGTAGAAAGGGAGAGTGGTGTTACAGCAGCCTTGGAAGGACATGGGTGTACTGTATCCTTTGTCGCTTGCCCCTAGGCCTGCCAAGTGGAGGGAGGGAGGGAAGGTCAGTTGTCCATGTTCTGCGGTGGTCGACGCGCAAGTGGTACTTGTGAGCGAAGTCGTGGTATTGCATCGTCTGATACCGTGGATGTGCATTGTCGTGTGCTGTAGGTCGCTCGTGCGTTGCTGTTATTGTCGTGGCGGTTGGCCTGCGGCATGAAATTCTGAGGTGCCGTGTGTAGTCGTGGCATTGCCTTGTACGGTGGTGCTTCCTTGAGGGCTGCGTCTTGGTGGCTGCTACGCGTGTGGAGGCTGGCGAGGTATTGCTCGTATCGTGTCTGGTGCGAGTGATTTGTGTCGATGTGCTCGTGGAAGCGTGGGTCCCCTGTGTTGTGTACAAAGATGTGGCCGCGGCTGTTGGTCACAGTGTGCTGCACGTAAATGGCATGTATAGGGGACTCCTGGAGTACTTGGGCTGGGAAGTATATCTGTACGGTGGCGCATGTCTCTGATGCGAGGCGATGCATCGGTACCTATTGTAGCAATCGCCGCGTCAGAATGTCCTCGTAGGTAGGGCGGGCAAGCAATGAATATCTTGAGTATTGGAGGTGGTGGATGCACGGGTATGGCGGCCCTTGCTGTTGGTGGCCATGTGGTAATAGCCTTGTTGTGAGGTACTTCAGGTGTGTCTGCGGTTGGGCTGTTGAGGATGGTGTGGGTGGTCTTCGTAAATGGATTTTCTGTTGTAATATGTATATTTGTATAACGTTATTATTCAAGCAAACAAAACAATACATAAGTGGATGGTAATGTTGGTGTTTGCTTGGCTGGCGGTGTATGCCTGGTCGGAGGTGGTGCAGGAAGTTCTGCGGGCCTGTCGGTAGTCGCGTTGGTGGTTGTTGGCGTGTTCTCCATTGTTGGCTAAGGGGCTAGTATTGATGTTTTTTTGGGGCAGGCGGTGTAGGCTTGCTTGGGGATAGAGCAGGTGGTGCTGCTGGTCTGTCGTCCGTCGTGTTGGCGATTGTCGGAGTGTCCTCTTTGCTTGTGCTGTAGTTGTCTGTCGGTGGCGCAGGTCTGGTAGTGCTGGAGGCCGTCGTAGGGTTGCAAATTTGTTGGAGTGCGCTTGCTTCGTATATGTTGCCCACCCAGTCGTACTTCATGTTGTTGTCGACGCTGTGGCATGTGTTGAACCAACGCGCTACTTCTTGTATTGCTGCGATCTTGTTGTGGTTCAGTGGGGCTTGTCCACCTGTCATAAATGTTTGGCAGTGATGACTGGCTGGTGGTAATTGCTGCTAGGAGGAATGCCGCGTTGGTACGGTAGTAACCCGCGAATGCGTCCATGTCGTTGCCGTATCGGGGTCAGGTCAGTCGTTTTGGTGGCTTGGGCGATGGTAGGAAGGTGTCGGCGTGTATGGCGTCCTTGAACTTGAGGTGCTTGGATTTTGTCGTGAGTGGTGGTTGGAAAGTCGATAGTGGTGTTGCCCTTGAGTCAAGTCGTAACGGGGGGTGTGGTAGGTATTGGTTCCCGTCTTCTCCTCCTCCTCCTCCTCCATCCTTGTCCCTCCTTCTCCTCTCTCCTCCTCCTCCCCACTCCTCCCCCTGCCTCCTCCTCCTCGTTTTCCTCTCTCCTCCTAGACCCTCTCTCCCTTCTTTCCTCCTCCTCCTTCTCCTCCTCCTCTCCGTTCTTCTCCTCCTCCTCCTCCTCCTCCTGCTCCTGCTCCTGCTCCTGCTCCTGCTCCTCCTCCTCCTCCTCCTCCTCTCCTCCTGCTCCTGCTCCTGCTCCTGCTCCTCCTCCTCCTCCTCCTCCTCCTCCTCCTCCTCCTCCTCCTCCTCCTCCTCCCCCCCACGCCGTCGTCTTTCCTCCTCCTGTTTCCTGTCTCCTGAAGGCAATAATCAAATCGTACCGATGCTGCCACACCCAGCTCAGCCCCCGAGGGCTGAGCCGGTGTTGCCCTCCGCCTCGTTCTCATCCTTGTCCTGATCCTCCTCCTTCCCCTCCTCCTCCTCCTCATCATCCCCATCCCTCTCCCTCGTGTCCACAGCTCATTGGGGCTTGAGAGCGCCTGCCAGCTGTCTGGTAAGGTTGTCGTACCTTTCTTCGAGTGCCCCCCCCTTCGAGCGACTGCTCTAAACGCCTCCTCGTATTTTTGTCTGTCTTGCGGATATCTCCCGCCTCGAGATGGGCCTCGAGACGGCACTATATGACTGCAAGATGCTGGAGGACCAGTCCAAAACGGCCTAGCATTTCTCTGAAGATTCCACGGTGTTCTCTATAAGGGCCACCTCTAAATAGAGGCGCTCAAAAGGCCTCCCTGCGAGACCCTGAGAACTTGATGGACCCGCGAACCCAGGAAGGAATGCACGTCCCACTGAATCTATACATCTCTTCTTTTCAGTGGCGCGCCATACTGCGATTCTATGTCATATGCAGTGCTGCGCTAACGACTCTAGCGCGGTCCATGCCTTTTCCCTGTCCTCACACTGCTTATCGACCTTCTCCTGTGACCTCCTGGAGCCTTCAATGTCCCCCTTGGCCCCTTTGTGGTTTCCGGGAGCCTGCCCCCTAACGTTGCCCCCCGAATGGCTTTCGGGTCATAGCTCGGTCCTCCCGCGGCCGTTCGAGACGATCTGTGCACCCCTGTGACGCTCTCAGCGAGGCGCAGCCGCTGGAGAACATCCCGAGGCCGGAAGGCAGCCGAGAACGGACGAAAGTGTCCGAAAACTTCGAATCTAGAATGTCCGAGCCTCTCCCTCCTCTCCCCTCGGAGGCCTGGAGCTAGGCACCAACACCAACACATGGGGTTGCCGCCACCGGGGGAGGGTGATCCTAGATGTTTTTTTCTGGTAATCGTCTTTCGGCCACCCAGGAGGCACGAAATATTACCACCTTCGCCGAGAT